TCACCATTTAGGGCTGCACTTTGCTGTGCTCCTGCTTTCCCTCATGACCCAGCCTGAATATTGCTGCCAAATGATTCATTACCAAACACCTAACTCCCCTTTTTCTTTGGACGAATTTCAGTGGTTTACTAGTTTTTATATAGAATCTATCTTCTACTCAGCCTTTGATGGAACTACTACTGCTTACTAAAGGCTAACATTTTAGAGCACTTACTATGTGCCAGGCCTTATAGGTTTCTGTTGATCCTGAAAATGATACTATAAAGCAGATATCAACAGAGGAGTTAAGTAACTTGTTCAAGGTCATGTAGCTGGTAAATAATAGAATCTGAATGTGACTCTGTTTTGGCTTGTGTCTGGATGTCTCTACAATGTACTGTCATCATAGGTGGGGCTTTTCAGAGGAGGCTGGAGCTATGCTGTGTAATGCTGGGATCAAGGGTGTGATGCTAGGATTGATTCATCAGTTCTAGGATTGAGGGTGTGAGTGCTACCCACCCTAAGGGGTGAGAACCTGGATAACAAACGGGACAGAAAGAGCCACTGTGTCATCTCTTGTCATTTATTTATTGCTGCTGCTGCTTGTCTTTTGCTCTGTGATGCCCCTCTGCAAAGCTACTCTGCGTTGGAGCCAGCTAATTATGGACTGAAACCTATACAAAATGTGAGGGGAAATAAATTTTTATGCCTTTGACTTTGGGTGTTGGATATTTTGTCTCAATAATAAGATAAGTAACTAAGACAAACTCTTTCATTTGAGCTCAAGGTTCCAGATTCCTGGTAGAATAATCTGCTCTTTCTAAGCTCCTACACAATCTGTTCTGTCCCTGTTTTACTCTTTTCAACTCTCTGGGCTCCACAGTCCATTTCAGTCGGTCTTGTGGCTATCCTCAGGATTCTGTATTTATTGTCCTAGCTTATATGTTCAGTCATTTAGTCATTCCTCCATTCATTCACTCACTCACTCACTCATTAAACAAAGCATCCATCAGGCTGATCTTATGCCCAAGTAATTGTATCATTATCTTTGTTCATTTATTCGTCCATTCAGCAATATTGTTCTCTTTTCCCACCAATCCTCTAAATCCTCCTGCCTATATTTCAACACTCTGCTTCAAGCCCTTTCTTTCATACATTCTGCCTTGGCCAAGACAGCTGGCATGTCCTCCCCCACAGAGGAGGACATGACATACTTTAGCATTCAATTTCACTGTAGCCTGGCAAGGTCATTTTATGTCTCCTTTTCCCATCAGGAGTCAAATGTCTGGAGACCAGGCCAGGGTACACACTCCTTTCATATCCACCACATGTTTAGTGTACATTAGACACCAAAGAAACACCTTCACTTCTGGGGGGTTATACCTGAACTATGCTTCAAGAAACACTTTTGTCAGTTGAGTAAACAAATGGGATGCAATAAAAACATAATAGGGTTTTCAAAAGCCTTTTACAAAATATTACTAATGCACTAGGAGAGTAATTCAATGAGGAAGCACTTGCCTAATGCTCAAAGCCCTGGGTTCAATTCTCAGCACTGAAAAAAAATTATGAACCTGTTATTTCTTAAAGTTTATGATAGTTTTACAAAGTTAATATTAGTATTCCCATTTTGCAGATGAGATTTAGACCTATGTTCACAAATGGATAATTTCAGAGCATTGTCTTCCAACCCCTACACCATGTTGCCTCCACAACCATTGGGTGGTTCTCTTGTGTGAACACACACGTTGAAAAGCCATTGAAATGTCTGTGGCTAATAGACTTTTACAGAAAATATGCTTTGCTTGTACCTAGACATCTATCTTATTTCCAGGCATGGAAATCCCTCCTGTTGTGAAGAAACTTGATGAAACTCCAGCAGCTTGGCCTTGCCTACTGCTTAGTCCTGGAACTAAGGGCAAAATCCCAGAAGAAAGCCATGTGAGATGTTCTCCCTGGTCACATGTCTAATTCTTGGTGACATTCCCTGAGTCTTCACATGCAGACTGATAGAGGTAGGAGGTAGGGGCAAGGAATGCTGTTTTTCCTTTGATGGTTACACCCTCACCCTACCAACAGGAAAACGGGAGTTTCTAGGGACTGTACTGAAAGTGTACTAAACATCTTTTCTTCCCTCCCCTCCAAGTCAATTATATGTCCTATACATTCCATCTACCCCAGGCCTGGAAACTCCTCCAAGCCACTACGCCTGGCTGTCTTAATTCATGTCATCAGTGTAATTATGATTGTTCCTGCTTCTGCTGTTCCCTCTGCATTTGGCAAAAGTGGCTCTTACCCCATCCCATGATACAAAGGCAGTTTTAGGGTGCACAAGGGTGCCCTTTAGTCCTCACAGGCAAATAGACAATGCTGCTCTTCCCTGACAGCCAACTGCCTGGTCCTGTAGGGAGTCAGCTGCCTCCAGATCTCCATTCCTGGTGCTGCTTCCTTTCTCAATCCTCAAGTCCGTAGCTTCTCAGCCTCCCTCCCCTCAATGCTATTAGCACTTATTCCCACTTCTCTCTTTCCTTTGCCCTCCCTTTCCAAACTACTCTGAAAGCCCTCTCCCTTCCCCTGGAGGAACCTTCAAACCTCATTCTCATCCAACTCCCCTCCCTACCCTTCAGTTGAGAGTTCTCCTGAGATCTGCTAGACACCCCAGAAGTCTGCCTCTGCCAGGCTCCTACCACTTTGCTGCCCACTCTTCTCTGTTCCTTGGGACCTGGGCTCATATTTTCATCTCTTCTCTCCTTTTAAATTCTGTCTGGCCCTATGATTCTCTTTTTCTGCCTTTTTTCATAACTGTCTTCTTTCTCACTTACATTCTTCTGTTTTTATTTTATTTTGGTACCAGAAATCAAACTTAGGGCCTTAAGCATGCCCGGCAGGTGCTATGCTACTGGGATATATCCTGACATTCCATTTATATTCTATTTTATTTTATTTTTTGCTTTTTTGAGATAGGATCTTGATATGCAGTTCAGGCTGGCCTTGAACTCATATGTAGCCCGCACTGGCCTTGACCTCACAGTGATCCTTTTGCCTCAGCCTCCTGAGGGCTGAGATTACAGGTGTGCATTACCACAACCTGGGTATACATTTATTTTTAAAATAAAATAGAGTGGAGTGGTGCATACCAGTAATCCTAGCATAAAAATAAATAGATGAGGGGCTGGGGAGATAGCTCAGTAGAATAAGTGCTTGCCTGGCAAACACAAGGTCCTGAGTTCAATCCCCAGTACCACAAAAAAAAAAAAAAAGTAAAGAGGTGTTACTCAAATAAAATGAGTATAAATAGTACAAGCCCAGGGACCAGCAAGATAGCTCAGCGGTCTAAAGCACCTGCTTAGGCAAGCTTAGGTGAGCACAGGGGCCTTGGCTCATCTCTGGCACCACATGCAGAGCCAGTCCTGCCCCCAGGGTGGGCTGAACTGGTCACACACAAAAAAAAAATATAAGCCCATACTTGGATATGAGAAACACACCACTATAAATTAAGGTAAGCTGTAGCTCTCAAACTGAGCCCTTTAAGGGTATTCCATTTTCATTTCATTTGCTTATATTTTCATGATCTATTTCGAGAGATGGGAGAGTCACAGAGGTATAGGTATAGCGATTATAATAAGCAAGAGGGAATTTATTTGGATCTCTTCTCTCTCTCTCTCTCTCTCTCTCTCTCTCTCTCTCTCTCTCTCTCTCTGGAATGGAATTCATTCACTCCACTCGACCTTAGAGGATCACGTCTCCATCAGCCTAGCATCATGCCGTCATAGGGTAGTTAAACATTGTAGAATAACTTCTTGATCTAAGATACCATATTCTGAGAGAAAAGGACATATATGAAACTTCCATAGCTGTGCAGGTGGTAAAACTAAAGTTAAAAGTCAACAAGAAGTGAAAGGATGAAACAAGTAGTGGGTCTCAAACTGAGACCTCCATGGGGTATTTCATTTTCATTTGATTTGTTTACATTTTCACGGCCTATTGGGGGAATACTGGAATGTCAAAAAGATATAGGTAAATTATAGCGAGCATGATGAGTTTGCACAGAAAATCTATTTCTTTTCTTGTTATATGCAGTGTTGAGGCTCAGAACCAGGGTTTCACACATGCCAAGCTAGTGATCTACTACTGAAACATACGCCAGTCCAGAAAATCAATTTCTAAAATTAAAAATTAAAAACCATCACAAGTAGGATTTTGCAAGCTTGTCTAGGCTTTGCTCCAGGAGCTCTTCAATGATTTCTCTTCCTGTGGGAATAGGAGATAGCCAGGACTGGAAGTCTTGCCTTGGACTCAGCCCTTCTTCTCCTTTCTCTCGGCCATTAGGAAATCCTAATCACACCCTGTAGCACTAGGCACACTACAGCAGCGAGGTTTACGGAAAAGTTGGTCAGCCCCAGTCCGAGTCCTCTGCGGTGCAGCTACAGAGTAAACCCCGAGTCCAGCTGGATCGACAGACGACGCGAGGAGGCAGCAGCCCACACCAGCCCGCAGGGACCTTGGCCCTTCTCCCGGGCGCCAGCACTTGTGGCGAGGGATATCGGGCTGGAGTCCCGGAGAAGCGATCCAACCCGTGGGGGGTGCGGGGGGTGGGGGGTGGGGCGCTTGCTAGAGTCTCGGGAATCAGCCGCAGCGCAGCGGGCGCAGGGATCCAGAGGACAGCCTCGCGTCCCGGCGGGACCCTCGACCCCTGAGCGCCAGCGCGGGCGCCTCCGAGGCCGCAGCCGGCCCGCCCGCTCCGAGCTCCGCGCGCAGCCCCGCCCCGCGCGCGTTGCCAGGGAAATCAGGTGACTCGCGGCTCGCGGCGCTCGGGGCGGCTGTGACGTCAGGAGCGCCGAGGCTCTTCACTAACTCGCGGCAGGTGCTGCGCCTTTAGTGCTGGCTCGTCCTGTTTCCATCGGTCCGGACTCGACCGGTAGTACCCCGCCGGCTCGCGGAGGGGAGCGGAGAGGTGAGGCGAGGCAGACCCGCCCGGACAGCGGGCACCGGGCGTAGGGGGAGGCGCGCCTCTGCGCTCTTCAGAGGCGCCCGCAAAGCCCCGGAGCCGAGGGCGCGCCGGGAGCGGCCGCCGCCCGCCGCTGGCCGGTCCGCTACCCGCGGCTGCCCTGCGGGTCTCCCGCCCGTCTGGTTTCCGGGCGGTGGCCTGAGGGGCTCCTTGTTTCTGCGGTCGCGCACCGCCGAGTCGCGGGGCTGGGAGCGGGCTCGCCGCGCCCCGTCTCGGGGGACGTCAGCCGCTGGCTGTGAGTTCTGAAACGAGCTGTACGTGCTGGGAGCCCAGCCGGCGAGAGGCCGCCGCGGGTGGGAGCCGAAGTGGGGTGCACTCGAAGAAGAGATCGTCCAGCCAGGTGCTCAGCCGCTGGGGGCGCAGACGTGGAAGAGACCTGTTGGAGACCTGAGGTCTGAGGGGTGGAAGTGTAGGTGGGGGGGGGGGGGGGGAGAGAGACCTCCGGAGCTGGAGACCTTGAGCCTCCAACTGGAGGTAGAAAAAACTCGGATTGGCCATCGGACTGCATGCTGGGTGTATTTGAGGGAGGAAAAAGAGTGGAGAATTATGTTAGAGCCGGTTAGAAACAACTTTGAGTGCTCGCTGAGGCCTGAGGTTTTGTGCCATGGGGAGCTATTGGGATTACAGACATGTGCCACTACGTCCAGTTTGAGCTATTGAGATATTGGCTGGATTGGGGTCGGGGGAACACTATGATGGGTGTCACTGAAGTTGGTGTGACAGTGCAGAAAAGAAACAATAACCAAACTCTTGTCTGATGGGATTCCTGGAACCCTTCTTATGAAGTATTACTCCAGACATACAAGAAGACAGGTGCAATTTGGGGGGGCAACGAACATCCCACCCACTGTTGGCAGATATTTAAAATTTTTCTTAGGCAAATAAATTATATATTCTTATGCGAGAGGACACACCCAGAAGTTTATTTTTCTGTATCTTATTTGACTAGATTAAATGACTGGCTAAGAACTGTGCTCCCCTCCATATGCATGGAGAGTGTAAGGACCACAGCATTTTGCCCTTCAGAGGTTTCAGTGTCTGACATCCCTAGGGTGAAATCCAAATGCCAGGTGAGTGGTAGGAGATGTGATGGCAAGAAATTACAAAGAGAATCAGAGAGCTGAAGATGTAGCTCCTTTGGGTTGGGGTGGAGGCAGAGACAGAAATATCACCACCCAAAACACAAATATGGGACATAGGTAAACTGTAAATGTAAAACAAAATTTCTTCCTCAGTCCATTCCTATCAGGCTCTTTTAGTTTGGAGACATCTATAAATTGCTGTAATGTTTCTTGTTTTTGTTTTTTTTTTTTTTTGAGACAGTGTTTTGCTCTGTGCATTAGTCCAGATTGGCCTTGAACTCGCTTTGTAGTCCAAGGATGGTCTTAAATTTGCAGCAGTCTTCCTGCCTCAGCCTCCGGAGTGCTGGGATTATAGGCACAGGCTCCCCTGCAGGGCCAGGTTGTTTGTTAACTGGCCCTTTCAATTTCCTGAGAAACAGGAAAAGACGGTTTTGTTACATAAGGAGGAATGATTTGGTGATTTACAGTTTTTCCCAGTCTTGCAATTACTGCTGTGACCAAAGATATAACTGGGTACACATTTGTATTCATGTTTTAAAAGTTTTATTTCCTCAGTGGAAGTGAAATGGCTGAACCTTGCACTAATTTATACTGTATTTGTTTGACTCCAAAAAACAAAATTGGACCTCCAGGGATCTTGTACAGTGAAAGGCAGTTTAGGGAATTGCTAAGAACTCAGGAGGGTGACTGCACCTGGTTTGCGTATAAATGTAGAAACCAGCACAGCACTCCAGGGAGACCGAGTCCAGAATGGAGAATCCTAGGGAAAGGGAATTTCCAGTGAGGTCAGTGATCCTTCCCTATACTAGAAGCCCTAAGATGGGTGATTTAAACAAAGCCAAAACAAAACAAGACGTCCAAAAGCATGTACAGGGACAGGGTGGTTTATAAGGGGCTTTTCACTTGCTTAGAGTCCCTGGAAATTAAATGCCTTTGCCCCCATTCTTTAATTGTTTGTAGCCCCAGTTACTTAGGAGGCTGAGGTGGGAAGAACACTTAAGCCCACTAGTTTGAAAATAGGATAGATCACATAGAAAGGCCCCATTTAAAGAAAAGAAAAAGAAAAAACACCTAATTAAAGAAAAAAACTGTAAAATAATTTTTGTAACCATTTTCTGAATCTCTCTGATCCTGTCTCAATTGGACGACCATTTATACTTCTTTGGAAACATTCCACCCCTTCCTCCCCCAGACACAGTAACTATGTGCTGTCAGGGCAGTTAAGTAGGCCAAGAGTTTTTGGAAATTTTCCTCTTTCATTCACTCCCACAAGTTTTCTCACTAATAAAGAAGTTAAGGCTTCATTGTCAGAAAAAAAAATGTTACTGTGTTTCCCTAAACACAAGCTATGATAAACAACAGGGCTGGCTTATGAGGGAAATGGTCTCCCTTGGGTGGAATTGGAAACAAGAGTGGGAGGCAGGGGTAGTGTGTGGGCTGGAACACTCAGCGCCTTTACCTTCTTACTCATGGCCCTGGACAGGGCATACCTTTCTTGGCACAGAAACATACCTTGACCTTGAACTGCATCTTTAAGGGGTAACAAGGAAAATTAGTAAGACAATATGAAGTAAAGCAGACTTAGTTTTAGGTCAATAGTATATTTTGAAATAGTTGTTTATAAAAAGTCACATTCAAATTCTAAGGCCTTTTTGCAATTTTTTTTCCCTTTATCACCTATAGTGTCAGCCTACAATCAAGACCTGGAGGCCTGAGATCAAGTGAATGTTTGTATTTCATGTGTAAAAATCTCAGGTGGTTCAGTACTTTTTAGTCCTCTTGAGTGCCTGCCGTGAATCAGTAACACCACAGGCTGTGAGGTTGGCAGCTTTCCATCCAGCATCCTTTAGCAGTAGTGTTATCATAAATTGTCTCAGCCCTAAAAAGCATTAGTCATTAAGCTTGTTAGAGACAAAAGTAGAAAATAATGCTCACTAAATTGGGTTGAGAAATAGGTCTTGCAATGAAGTTTAGTGGACTCTCCAGTGCTTGTTGAAGTACCAGGGACTCTATGAAGCTATGACACCCAGCTCTTAGACTTCAGACATTGGCTGGCCAGGCTTAGCATGCTCACCTGAGGGAAATTCATATGAAGAAACTTCCTGTTTTTCTCAAGCTGAACTGAGTACTGTGTTCTAGGCCTCCAAGCTTCTTAGCTTGAGCAAGGCCATTAAATTGGCTTGGCTATAAAATGGAAGTCAGCAATTAAAAAGTAGCAGAATAGAAGGAAGGAAATTAATGAGTTGACCTTCCTTGTCTTACCAGCAAAAAGGTTCACACTATTTTGAGCACTATATACCAAAGGCTCTTCAAAAGGAAATAAGCTTGGACTGATGTCTGTAGTTTTTAGGAGACATATGTAGACTATGAATATAGATGCTGTTTGATTTATAGTGGTGTGACTTAGGATTTTTCTATTTTATGATGATCAAAAGTGAACTCATGCATTCATTTGTTGTTTTACTTTCCTTATAATATGTAACAAGATATTTTGCATTTTACCATAAAATAGGTTAGATAAATGTTCAAAGTTGGGTAAATGTTCAGAGCAAGTTGATGGTGAGGCTAAGCTTATGGTTAACTACTACATTTTTTTCAGTTGGTTAGGTTAACTACATTTTTTTTTTTTTTTTTGCTGGTACCAAGGATTGAACTCAGGACCTTGTGCTTGCCAGGCAAGCGCTTATTCCACTGAGCTGTCTTTCTGACCTTACATTTTTAATTCACAATATTTCCAAGTTATGATGAATTTATCAGGCTACCAGTCAAGGAGCCTTTGTATTGAGTTAGGCCTCCAAAGCATATCTAGGAAATTGGATGGGTCCTCACATCTAAAGCAAGAGAGACAAATTGTGTGAATCCAGTCTTTGTAAGCAGTAAGCCCATGGTATGACTTTACCACAAACAGACTGGTTTATACGTTTTTGAGCTCTCATTAAAAGGTTTAGGGGACTGTTAGTAATTGCAGTATAAGGCAGGTTACTCTAGCTGAGTTTACTTTTTAGGGAATATTGCCTTACTCAGAGATACCTATCACTAGTTCTTTGATAATTAATGCTAAAGAATTGTTAGCTAATTCCAAGAGCATTCCAGGAAAAAAAAAAAAAGTCATAACTGAAAACTATACACATTTATTAAATCAGGGGCTTGGCTTCATTGATGCTATGATGTGGTGGTCTTTCTTTGCAGATGTGCTCTCCATGTACAAAGAAAGGCAGGGATTGGATGATAAGCAGAGGTATTTGAGGAGAGAGAGACCTGAGAAATGTGCTAGATTTCTGCCATATTTAATTCCAGTGCTGAACGTAGTACTTCGCCAGTCAACTTTCAGTGTCAGAGCCTTGGAGGGATCAGTTGGGGAAATTGTGTGAAGAGGAGGACATCTATAGAAGCATAACTATCTCTTGAGTTCTTTTTATCAACCTCGTGCTTGGTGTTATCCTGCTGCCACTAGTCACCTGGACCATCCAGATGCTGCCTTTCTGCCAGCCTTTCCTCCCCAACTCAATCCTCTCTAAAGCCAATTTAACCTCCCCTTGCAGTTTGTGCATCTTTTGGCCCTAACATTATGGGGTTTTGTTTCTGGTTTTGTTTTGGGAGGGTGCTGTACAGGGATTGAGCCAAGAGTGTTTATACTGAGCTACACCCCAAACATTTTTTATTTTTGATTTTGAGACAATCCTGCCAAGCCACTCAAGTTATGCAGGCTGGGCTTGAGTTAGCATTCCTCCTACCTCAACTTCCCAGGGTGCTGGGATCACAGGACTATGCTGCCAGGTCCAGCTGTAGCTTTGGCAGCTGTGTTGAACTATCTAGCAACCTTTATTATCTGGTGGTGGCTACATGAGAAACTCCAATGAGAAGTGGTTGTGTTTAAGGTGAGGAAGAATTCCAAATGTTTTTTTTTTATTTTTTATTAATTTTTTAAATGAATTTAGGACAGGGTGTACAAGGTCTCACTACACAGATCAAACTCATAGTGATCCTCCCATTTTCAGCCTCCCAAGTGCTGGGATTACAGTCTCGAGCCACCATGCCCAGTCTCACCCTCACAGTGCACCCTGGGGGCAGGGCCAGCACAGCACACTGGGGATTGAACCTAGGCCGCTGCGCTCTGCTGAGCTATCTGGCCAGCTCTCCAGATGTTTCTTAT